GGGCAGGTGGCACGGCCCTGCGAGCGCGGGAGCCGCCTCCTCCTTTTCTTCCTCCTCCCTCGCCGCCGCAGCCGGGTCCTAAAGGGCCGGCTTCTTCCCGCCCCCTGCCTTCTCCCCTCCCCCTTTTGGAGACCACTCCCTTCCCCCCGACACTCCCTCGCGCCGGCAAGTGCGTGCGCGCACGCCCGTTCGCCCACCCCAGCGTTGGCTGCGGGCTCTGGGGGTCGCGTACTCTTCCCGGGCAACGTCCCTCCACACTCTTCTGGCCCTGACTCTGACTCCTGGAGGAGAATACGGATAACTCGCGGGTTTAGATAGGACCGGCGTGGCGGTGGAGAAGAGCGCGTGCTTTTGTCTGCTCTCAGTTCAGTTCGCGAGGACTTCGTTTGCGCACTTCCCATGTAGCCGGCACTGGGCTAACCGCTGGTGAACACAAAGGACATACGGCACCGTTTTGACCTTCCAGTAGATTTCAGTCGGCTCACACCAACTCCTTCCATCCCTTGGTATCACCCGCCACTGACACGTGGCATGGAACAATGACTTCTTGTTGGGTGGTTCCTGCGGAGTTTCAGACCCGTCTAGACCAGGCTAGACCCAAACAGCCCCAAATGGTCTTAGTGACTACTGCAGTTTTGCAAACCTGGGAGCTCGTGACTACAACCTATGAGAACCCTAAGTGCAATGCCCCGCAAAACCTGCTCCCTTCCTCTGCCCCAGACCCCCTCCCTTCTCCGCCTGCTGAAATAATCCCTTAGCACCCTGGGCCCCCACCTACAAATCTCGAGGCACTTGTTGCAGGACAGATCCCAGAACACCCATTTGCAGGGGTCTTGGAGAGGTCAATCAGCTCTCCAGGTGTGAGAGACCCGCTCTGGGGTAAGGCCATTTATGGCTGTCTTCAATAATGCAGATGGACAAGGATGACCTCCTTTCATTGTTCTGTTTGATTTACTGAGTCATCTACCCAAGCCGCCCCCAACCCCCATCATTCCAGGCTGGACTCAGCCATAATCATCAACCATCTCCTGGGTTGTGACCCTAACAAAGACCCCTGTCAGAGAGATTCCCTGGGTGAGAGATGGACCATTAAGCTGCCTCCACCGTGGCAGGTTTAATCTCCCTATACCTCAGCGCCCCTCTTCCCCAACCAGACCCCTCCACTCTGGCTCTTTCTAACTTTAAGGCTCAGAGCCTGTTTGATTCAATTCAACAGCTAGTTAACCCAGTGGCCACCTGACTCTGAAGGTGACCTAGATGCCTCCAGGAAGGCAAGTTCCTGGTCTTAAGACACTAAGCTGGGAAGAGTTATGGGGAAAGACTTTGGTAAGATAATATAAATAAATAAATAAATAAATAAATGTTTATCAGAGGCTTTGAATAAAAGAAATATTTTGGTAGAGAGGTGATGTGGTGGTTGAGGAAAGGGGAGTTTCTTGGGTGAGTGGGAACTGAAATTGAAGCTTGTAATTCTACCAGAGGAAATGGACCGTTAGCAAGGGCACAGGCAGAGGGAACACCTGAAGCAAAAACACAGAAATGGGGCCGGGCGCGGTGGCTCACACCTGTAATTCCAGCACTTTGGGAGGCCGAGGCGGGTGGATCACTTGAGATCAGGAGTTCAAGACCAGCTAGCCAACCGTGGCCAACATGGTGAAACCCCATCTCAACTAAAAATACAAAAATTAGCTGGGCATGGTGATGCACGCCTGTAGTCCCAGCAACCTGGGAGGCTGAGGCAGGAGAATCACTGAGAGCTGGAAGTTGCAGTGAGCCAATATCGCACCACTGCACTCCAGCCTGGGTGACAGAGTGAGAATCAGTTTCAAAACGCACGCACACGCACACACACACAGAGAGAGAAATGGGAAAATGAGGCTGGGGATCAGAAAGTCAGTCCACTTCAGCCAGAGTGCAGGATGCTTGCAGAGAGCAGCAGGAAGGCAGGAAAATCCAGTTGACTGTATGGAGGTTTGGCTTAATATGCTAGGCAGTAAGGATACAGCATCCATGTTTGAGCAGAGGAAGACACGGACAGAGCTGGACTTCTGGAAATCATTAGCACTATGTAAGAGTGCCGATCTGAAAAAAAAAAAAAAAAGTAAAAAAGTAAAAAGCACTATGTACAGTACCAATCTGAAAAAAAATAAAAATGAAAAAGACACAGGAAGGATCGTGATCATTCCAGCTTCATTCTCCCTGGTGTCTCCTGCCTGCTTTGTAAGATGTTTCTGTTGGCCCCACCCACTGAGCTCCTGCAGAGTAGGGACAGGGTCTAGAACAGCACTGTCCAATAGAAATCTACTGCAAACCGCACACTTGAGCACATGTGCAATTATAAATTTCTAGTAGCCATATTAAAATATAGTAAAAAGAAATAGGTGATATTTATTTTAATAATATTCTTAATTTGGCGGTATATCCAAAATCGTATCATTTCAGTGTGTAATCAACACTAAAATTAATGAGAGTTAGCATTCCTTTTCTTATACTAAATCCTCAAGTTCCGATGTGTATGCTATACAGCACATTTCAGTTTGAAATAGCCAAAGTTCAAATGATTGATAGCCGTGTGTGGCCAGGTAGCTAGCAAATTGGACAGCCCACAGTTCTAAATACTGCCTGGCACCAGATAGGCACTCAATAAATATTTGTTGAGTGAATGAAAAGTACAATCTCTCAAAATATTCCTGGCAGGGCCCCTCATTCTCTTTCTGTCTTAATTGCAATGCCCAGGAGCTGGGGATGAAAGGCTGTGATGAGTCTATTAAGAGGCTAAGAGTGGCTGGCATTCATTCATTCATTCATTCATTCACATGCAGTTGCTCACTTACCTTTTGAGATTCATTCTCTTTCCACCTCCTTTAAAGTTCTTGATCTTTTAGCCAGGAGCAGTGAAGATGAGCAGGCAAAGTGATGCTGACTTGACAAATGCAAAGTACTCAATGAGATTTCACTTTCTAATGAGCCTGAAGGCCACACCCAATTCTTTTCTCCTAGTTCCCAGATTAATGGCCAATTTTACCCTTCCCCACCCTAAATACACACAAACACATAACAAAATAATCCCATCTTTTTAAGGCTTTTCCTAACCTCTCCTGAGCCAGGCCAGCTGCTACGGAGGCTTGAATCACAGAGCATCCTCAATCCATTGAAGCCTAAAGAAGTAGCGGGACTCAGCCCAGGACCCAGAGCTGGTTACTGGCTGGCCTCAACTTAACCATTTTGCTTATTACTGTAGGCCCAGGGCTAGAACAGTGCCTGCACAGAGATGCTCAAAGAATATTTGTTGAGTGAATCCAGGTTCTCTGCTCCGTGTCTCTTGCTTTGCCCATCCCATTGGTCCTGGAGCATTCTTCACTTTAGATTTCTCATGAGTCCTCTGCAAAGTTATGTCCTCAGGCTTCAGAGCCTGTCTGTGCCCAGCAGTGAGGACTGGCTGAGAGATGGGGACAGGCTAAGACTGGTTTTCTCCCTTCCCCTTAATCCCTGCCTTTTTCCATCTCAACCATGTTTTATAAACCCCACCCTTACGTGGTTTACTGTAACTAGGTACCATCTGTACTATGATTTACATAATTTTTTTAAAGTAAGGCAATTCACTCTTTTTTTTTTTTTTTTTTTTTTTTTTTTTTTTTTTTTTTCTGTGCTGCCCAGTCTGGTCTTGAACTTCTGGGCTCAAGTACCATAAATGGAAATGCAGTATTGATGGTCATCTATAGATGGTAACCATAAAAATAAACACAATGAAAACAAAACAATGTTATTTGATTTGAGCTGGATAATGTTGCCTGCTGAAACTTCTGAGGCTGGTAAACTCTCCCCAAGTTAAGAAAGATGAGACAATCTAAAAGAAGCATTCAAGTTAAGTCGACCCAAGCTGAGATTTTGTCCAAGTCATCAGGAGAGGAATGTTTTTAAAAAATGTTTTGAAATACACATGCAAAAAAAAGTAGATAAACTAGATAAATATCCACAAATTGACGGCACCATATAACCAGCTCCCAGATCAAAAAGCACATTGGCCAGGCACAGTGGCTCACGCCTGTAATCTCAACATTTTGGGTGGCTGATGCAGGCAGATCACTTGAGCCCAGGAGTTCAAGACCAGCCTAGGCAACATGGTGAAACCCTGTCTCTACAAAAAAATAAAAATAAAAATAAATAAGCCGGGCTTGGTGGTGCATGCCTGTAGTCGCAGTTACTTAGGAGGCTGAGGTGGGAAAGTCAAATTTGAGCCCAGGAGGTCAAGGCTGCAGTGAGCTGTAATTATGCCACTGCACTCCAGCCTGGATGACAGAGTGAGATGCTGTCTAAATAAATTAATAAAAAAGAAAAGAACATTAACAGCATGTGGAAACCCTTTCATGCCCCTGCTGGTTATTATCCCTATGCCCTGCAAGGATAAACATTGTCCTGACTTCTACTGGCGTGGATGAGTTTTCACATAAATAAAAACTTACAATAAGCAGGGTTTTTTGTTTTGTTTTGTTTTTTGAGACAGAGTCTCGCTCTGTTGCCCAGGCTGGAGTGCAATGGTGCGATCTCGGCTCACTGTAACCTCCACCTCCCAGGCTCAAGCACTTCTCCTGCCTCAGCCTCCAGAGTAGCTAGGATTACAAGTGTCCGCCACCATGGCCGGCTAATTGTATTTTTCATGTGAACCAAAAAAGAGTGCAAACAGACAAAGCAATCCTAAAGCAAAAAGAATAGAGTCAGAGGCATCACATTACCTGACTTCAAACTATACTATAAGGCTACAGGAGCCAAAACAGCATGACACTAATACAAAAACAGACACATAGACCAATGGAACAGAATAGAAAACCCAGACATAATGTTACAAAGTTGAGAAAAATAAGCAGTGGGGAAAGTACCTATTCAATAAATAGTGCTGGGATAGCTAGCTAGCCATATGCAGAAGAATGAAACTGGACCCTTACCTCTCACCATATACAAAATTGAACTCAAGATGGATTAAATATTTAAGTGTAAGACCTCAAACTATAACAATTCTAGAAGAAAGCCTAGGAAACACCATTCTGGACGTCAGCCTTGGGAAAGAATTTATGACTCCTCAAAAGCAACAGCAACAAAAACAAAAATTGACAAGTGGGACCTAATTAAACTGAAAAGCTTGTGCAAAGCAAAATAAGCTATCAGCAGAGTAAACAGACAACCTACAGAATGGGAGAAAATATTTCCAAACTATGCATCTGATAAAGGTTTAATGTCCAGAAACAATTCAACAAGCAAAAAAGCAAATAACCCCATTAAAAAGTGGGCAAAGAACATGATCAGCCACTTCTCAAAAGAAGACATACAAGTGGCCAATAAACATATGAAAACATGCTTAACAACACTAATCATCAGAGAAATGCAAATCAAAACCACAATGAGATACCATTTCACACCAGTCAGAATAGCTATTATTAAAAAGTCAACAAAACAACAGATGTTGGCAAGGCTGCAGAGGAAAGGGAACACTTATACACTGTTGGTGGGAATGTAAATTAGGTCAGCTACTGTAGAAAGCAGTTTGGAGATTTCTCAAGGTACTCAGAACTACCATTCGACCCAGCAATCACATTACTGGGTATATAGCTAAAAGAAAATAAATTATCTTACCAAAAAGACACATGTACTCATATGTTCACTGCAGCACTATTCACCATAGCAAAGACATGGAGTCAACCTAGGTGCCCATCAGTGGTGGACTGAATAAAGAAAATGTGGTATATATGCACCATGGAATACTACACAGCCATTAAAAAAAAAAAAAAGGATGAAATCATGTCCTTTGCAGCAACATGGATGCAGCTGGAAGTCATTATCCCAAGCGAATTAACACAGGAACAGAAAATACCACATGTTCTCACTTATAAGTGGGAGTTAAACACTGGGTACTCATAGACATAAAGATGGCAACAACAGACAATGGGGGCTACTAGATGGAGAGGGACAGAGGGGGAAAGGGTTGAAAAACTAACTGTTGGCTACTAGGCTCACTACCTGGGTGATGGAATCATTCATACCTCAAACCTGAGCATCACGCCACAACACATATAATAAACCTGCACATGCACCCCCTGAATCTAAAATAAAAGTTGAAATTGTATTTTAAAAATTCCTCCTATGTTATCATACATATATAAACCCCACTGTGAATAGCCCACTGTGAATAAAGAAGGTGTTCAACCAGAACTGGTAAATTGAGAAAAGATGGAAAGTGCTCACGTCTGTAATCCCAGCACTTTGGGAGGCCGAGGCAGGTGGATCCCAAGGTCAGGAGATCGAGACCATCCTGGCTAACTCAGTGAAACCCCGTCTCTACTAAAAATACAAAAAATTAGCCGGGCGTGGTGGCGGGTGCCTGTAGTCCCAGATACTCGGGAGGCTGAGGCAGGAGAATGGCGTGAACCCAGGAGGCGGAGCTTGCAGTGAGCCAAGATCACACCACTACACTCCAGCCTGGACGACAGAGCGAGACTCCGTCTCAAAAAAAAAAAAAAGATGGAAAGTGCCAATTGTTGGCAAGGATAGGAAGCAAGTGGAACCCCAGGGACTGCTGAGAGGAGTATACGTTCATACATTTACTTGGCAAAACTTTTTGGCTCTGTCTACTAAAGCTGATCACATGTGTACCCTATGACCCAGAAATTCCATGTCTAGGTACGATTACAGGTGTGAGCCACCATGCCCAGCCATCATACTTGTTTTTAAAGATGGGGTTATTATATGTCACTCTGGCTAGAATGCAGTGGTTATTCACAGGCACAGTCATAGCACTTTGTAGCCTCAACCTCCTGGGCTCAAATGATCCCCTTGCCTCAGCCTCCCAAGTACCTAGGATTACAGGCACATGCCACCATGAATGGCTCATATGCTTTTTTGTTCATGGGGGAGTTTTGAGTTTGAGTTTTAGTGGTTGTTTCGAGAGGAAGGGAAGAAGCACAAAAGGATAAGAGCATTGCTTGAGCAGAGGAAATGTCCTCTAGTTTTTATACATTCCCCTGGGATTTGCCAAAGACCAGCATAGCCTCCTCCTTGGTGAACCCTGAAACAAAATGAACAGGGGCGAGGACCTCTGGCTTTTCTGACCCAGATCCTTGGAAAGAAACTCCCTAATGGAAATCTGGGGAACATCATTACGGAAAAGATGAAGAATGGAAAATGTGCTTTGTGGTGATTTTCTGAACAACCATCAAGGGGCAGGTCAACCACTCAATCGATCACTGTCATCATCTTTGTCTTCAGAAAATCTTAACCAAGTGCCTCCTCCCAGATGATAGGTTAGGCTTTGTGTAGCCCT